CTATATGCTTGTTGCTTAACTAAACGCAGTTGTCATTTTTTGTTCGTTGCACGGGTCGGCCTTCGCTGTTGATTTTGCGATTTTGCGGTCTACCGCCAGATGGTCCCAAAAATGTGCTTTTCTTTTGTTCTTTTACTAAGCGGTATGCGGTCCCAAAAATGGGACCGCCAGGCGGTCCCATTTTTGGGACCGTGTTTAGGTTCATTTTTTGAAGTTTGTTGTATCAAGGTTGCAGAAGCGCAACGTTTTGGTTTCAATGAAGCTTTGTGGCTTATGGCGGCCGGAAGGGCAACTAGGGAGGCCCTTTTGAGCGGAGCCGGTTTTGAGAAGGTTTTCCGGACCCAGAATTGGGTCCGTCGGAGGAAGCTGTTTTGTAGATGATTTGGTTTCTTGTTGGGGCAAGCGGGGTGCATATCGGTTGCTGCTTGAACCCAGTTGAAGGTAGCTTTTTATTATTTCGTTTCGTCTGGTGGCTTGGTTGTTTGCTGCTAAAAGAAGGCGCATCAGCCTTTTGCAGCCTTATAGGTGATTGCTTGAAGTGTTTCTTGCTGTTGCGGAGTTTGTGGGTTTTCGCGCAGGTGGCCGGCTTCCATTTGAATGATTGTATTGAATACTTTACTGCCCCTTGTTGGCCCCCCTTGCCCCTCTAGACTCCCACCGAAGTTTTCAGCCCAGAAAGAACATGAATTATGATCTTTTCAGTCAATCCCGTTATTAATTAATAGTATTAATTTAAAACGGGATGGAGTAAGAAAGCGACGGATTGGTGAATGTTGCCTGGGTGGTGCTGCATTGCAATCGCCGCATTGGAGCTAGGGAACGGAGACAGCTGATACCACATGTGCGCTTTCAGGTTCCATTTGAAATCAGGCTTCGCATGTGCGGGCCTCCTCTTGTTCCAACTCTATATGCTTGTTGCTTAACTAAACGCAGTTGTCATTTTTTGTTCGTTGCACGGGTCGGCCTTCGCTGTTGATTTTGCGATTTTGCGGTCTACCGCCAGATGGTCCCAAAAATGTGCTTTTCTTTTGTTCTTTTACTAAGCGGTATGCGGTCCAAAAATGGGACCGCCAGGCGGTCCCATTTTTGGGACCGTGTTTAGGTTCATTTTTTGAAGTTTGTTGTATCAAGGTTGCAGAAGCGCAACGTTTTGGTTTCAATGAAGCTTTGTGGCTTATGGCGACCGGAAGGGAAACTAGGGAGGCCCTTTTGAGCGAAGCCGGTTTTGAGAAGGTTTTCCGGACCCAGAATTGGGTCCGTCGGAGGAAGCTGTTTTGTAGATGATTTTGTTTCTTGTGGGGGCAAGCAGGGTGCATATCGGTTGCTGCTTGAACCCAGTTGAAAGTAGCTTTTTATTATTTCGTTTCGTCTGGTGGCTTGATTGTTTGCTGCTAAAAGAAGGCGCATCAGCCTTTTGCAGCCTTAGGTGATTGCTTGAAGTGTTTCTTGCTGTTGCGGAGTTTGTGGGTTTTCGCGCAGGTGGCCGGCTTCCATTTGAATGATTGTATTGAATACTTTACTGCCCCTTGTTGGCCCCCCTTGCCCCTCTAGACTCCTACCGAAGTTTTCAGCCCAGAAAGAACATGAATTATGATCTTTTCAGTCAATCCCGTTATTAATTAATAGTATTAATTTAAAACGGGATGGAGTAAGAAAGCGACGGATTGGTGAATGTTGCCTGGGTGGTGCTGCATTGCAATCGCCGCATTGGAGCTAGGGAACGGAGACAGCTGATACCACATGTGCGCTTTCAGGTTCCATTTGAAATCAGGCTTCGCATGTGCGGGCCTCCTCTTGTTCCAACTCTATATGCTTGTTGCTTAACTAAACGCAGTTGTCATTTTTTGTTCGTTGCACGGGTCGGCCTTCGCTGTTGATTTTGCGATTTTGCGGTCTACCGCCAGATGGTCCCAAAAATGTGCTTTTCTTTTCTTCTTTTACTAAGCGGTATGCGGTCCCAAAAATGGGACCGCCAGGCGGTCCCATTTTTGGGACCGTGTTTAGGTTCATTTTTTGAAGTTTGTTGTATCAAGGTTGCAGAAGCGCAACGTTTTGGTTTCAATGAAATGCTACTTTCGTGGCAAAGAGTGGTTTCATGGCAGCTGTGTTTTCAATCCTGCTCATTACTACAAGCCGCTCATTGCACTACCGTGCGCTGATGAGGGTGGCTGTTCTCTGTTCATATGGCAATTGGCCATTGAAGATATTGCTCGCTGCTGCAAGCCGGCCCCTCCCTGCACAACCGTTGTCGCATGAGGGTGGTGGATGTTTTATGGTCATGATAGGCCATTGGGGATCTTGCTCGCTGCTGCAAGCTCCTCACTGCTGCTCACTGCTGCAAGCCGCTCACTGCACAGTTGTAATTTTCCCATTGGTTTGGCTGCGCGAAAGGGGTTAAGAAGGGCGACTTTTTTGTGCCCAAAAAGGGTTCCAAAACAAAGAAAAAAGTCGCCAGTAAAAATCCCAAACCAAAAGGAAAATTACTACTGCACAGCCGTTCTCTGATGAGGGAGGTCGATGTGATGTTTTATGGTCATGATGTGCCATTGAAGATCTTAGTTCGTTCGTGAGATCGGTCGCTGTTACTATGATATGTTTCATCCATGGGCCATTCAACCGTATCATTGTAGGTTTTGCTATATATGAGGTGCGCTTATTACTGTTCCCGCGTATGCGCGTGTGGGTACATGTAGATTTTAAGGGGACGTGTCATGTGGGCACACGCGCATACAAATTTGTATGTGTTTGCTTGACTATTATATGGACATAACCACAAGCAACGTTTTCTTTTGAAGTTTTTTGCGTTTATCCCAGGCGCCTTTTTAGTGGTTTTGTTTTTTCACAGCAGAACAATGACCAGTGCCACGCACTGATCAATTTTATATTGTGTTTTTTGGGTTGTGTGCGAGTTGTCATGACGCGTTTTTGCCATGTTCCATCTTGAGCCCGGCCGCTCTTCCAGGTTGGCCCCAATGAATTTGTAGAAGACAAAGCTTGGTCGTTTTTGTGGTCATTCTGCCAGGAACATTTCTGCACGTCAGCGGAAACTGACTAGTTTGCAGGCATAAATCAGCAAGATGTTTCCTCGCGAGTGGCCATGGTGGTCATGGTGAAGTCTTAGAATCAAGAGCCAGGGGCTCATTTTCAGGATTCTGGAGCCCGCGTGTGCAATGATTAGTTTCGGATACCTGCTTGTACTCTGCAACTACAAGCCAGGAAATGAATTTCATGAAGGGCTTTGTTTTCTGTTGGGACTGATGACTAATAGATGCCGAATTCTTGCTCCAAGGCTGAACATCAACTTGTGTGGAAGCTCCCGCTTTGAATGAGCAGGCTTCTTATCTGGGGTTCTGCACAAGTGGCTTTTTGAATTGGCAGTCGCTTTCAAAACTTGAATTTGCAGAAGTCTATTTGGTGCTGAGGCCGGGCACTTGCTTGGTCTGAGGCACACTCAGTGCATGGCAGTGTCTGACTGTGAACTTGCGGCCGGAACTAGTGGTTAGTATATAATAGTTTGTATGTGCACCGTGTTTGCTGAACTTTTCCAACCTCCCTGCCAATGAAACAAAACTCGCAGAGATTTTGTTTTTTGTCCTTGAGGCTGGAACCCGGCAGTTTTGCTTGTGGGTTCAAAACCGCACTGATCTCAGACTCAGAGCATGCGAGTCTTCAACGTGTCAATGTTTGTTTGAATCTCATCATTCCTTCCTTGCAATTGTCGCAACGGATGCGGGCCGAGACACAGCGATCACCCATCATCCTGCTGGAGATTGTGAACATGTTAGAGGCCAGGGGTGTGCATTGGTCGTTCATTAATTAATCTTCTCCACCAGCTTGACTGATTCTTGTTACAGGCCGAATTGGACTGGATTGGGTCGGTTTTTTTAGCTGGACATTGATAGGGTTTAGCATTTATGTGAATTGGTTCGCCTGTTAGGCCCAACATTTGCCTTCACCCACTTCGGAGCGCGCCTCTCTCAGAACTTAGGGTTGCAGTAACCCTTGCGCAAAGGTATTTTTTGTGTGTCTGTGAAGTCAGTGAGGAAGCGTTGCAATAATGTTGCAGTTTCTTGGACATGGTATCATGTTTGGCACTGGTGGAATGGCCTTTCCAGGATCAATTAGTCAGGGCTGGTAGTTTCCATGAAGCGTCCAGCTGCACACAAGCGTCCTGCTGCGGCACATGCCCCTGCGGATGAAGTTCCTTGCAAACGACCCGCTGCAAGGAGCTTCATAGATTGTTTGAAAGCTGTGTTTTGCAGTGCCGGATGGGGTTGCATTGATTTGGTTTCAAAAGCCTGGCAGTTCTTCATAGTGATTCAATATAAGTTTCAATTTGTATTGTAAAACAATGAGGGATTTTGTAAAGGTAAGGTTTGGTGCAAGCCGAAAGGATTCATCACTGCACCTGAATTTCTGTGATTGTTTTCTCCACGCTTGCAGACCCGCATTGTGCACGGCCCAAGACCAGAGTTCAACTAAGAAATGGTGAGCCTGTGCAGCTCAAGTTATCAAGAGTGGATCGCACTCAGCATGTTTGCACAGAGACAGAGGGCGGATGACTCAATCCTGTGTAGCCTGTGTAGAGTTTTTCATGCCTGTGTCATTGAAACACGGTAGCAACTTTCCTTACTTTCGTTTTCCAATGCCCATGGTTTCTGGATGTTCTTTGCTTCTGATGATGAGTGTGAGAAGCTTCACAGCGAGAAGCCAAGTTCACTTGTTCCCAGTGCTGATGGCATCAACCTCCAATTCTTGTCGTCACCGTGTCTTTGCGGCCGAAGAGTTTGTTATCAGCAGTTCCAGTCACAGATTGGCCCATTGATTTCGAAAAGGCGAGAGTTTCGAAGCCTCAAGCCTGAGGAAAAGGCAAGGTGTGGCCAGTGTTTTTGCTTTGGTTGAAGTGGAAAGAAAGCTTGTCAGCTCTGTGCGAAGAATTTGTCCTCTAACTTTCACAAGTTGTAGGCTGTGTCACTGTAAAGTTTGAGCCCTGGTTTGAGGACAACTTTTTGCAGGCCTTGTTTTTGCCGAGCGTCCAGCAGCAGTTTCAGTTGGAGGATGGCCCGGTAGAAGACGTAGAGTTTGAAGAGTCAGATTCCGATGGTCTTTTTCCAGAGTCTGAGTGCGAGATTTTTCAGGAATCAGATGATGATCTGAACTTCTTCGCATCAGATGATGAGCAGAGACTTCCTTTGGTGCCAGTTGCATCAGGCAGCAGTGGGCCCAGTGGACGCCGGTATGGCTCGGGTCGCCAGAAATGTATTAAAATCCTGGGGAAAGAGGTGTGTGTTAAGGCTGCTTGTCGCTTGCTTGGCGTTGGCCAAGACACGATATCAAGATTGCGGTCAGGCTCCCAAGGTTATAGACAGGAAAAAAGAAAAGCCCCGTGTCATCCCCAATTTGGTTTCGCAATGAGGGGAGACACTCGGGAGAAATGGCCAGGGGTGGTCATGTACCTCTGGCTGGTCTATCACTCCTCTGCGGAATGCTTGCCAACAGATCCAGGCCATCGGCTTCGTAAACCTGAAGGTTCTGCAGAAACACCATTTCCAGAGATTAATAGTGACGGCAGTGATGAGTTGGATCGCAGGGTCAATGCTTTCATGACTTCATTGAACACTTACAAGACCGACGTGGATGTGCACCTGGTCGGACCAGGAACTTTCAAAGGAGAGAGACGTGAGCTTCAGTCATTTGGCTTTCCAATAGCTGTTTTTTGATATGGGACCTCACATTTTTTGAAGTTGGTTTGAAATAGTGCAAGGCATTCGTCAAGAACCGATCTCTATTTCGAGTATTGCGCGCATTGCAGTTCCACCTCGGAAGAGGCTGCTTCCTTCACAACTTTTATGCGCGTGGCAAACAAAATCCTTGGCCCACACTTGAGAACAGGACACCTGCATTTTCGCAAGCCAAATGAGCATTCAAAGTGTGACACATGCATCAGACTCAAGAGGGCTTTGAGGAAGAAGGAGAACAAGATTGGTGGCTCAGACTCAGCCACCAGGGCCTATACTGCACACATTTTGTCCCAGTGGCTGGACCGCCAAATTTATTGGAGTTTCAGATCGCTATCCCAAAGTTTTTTTCAGCAAGCGGCCGCTGGTGAAAGGTTGCCTGAGATTGCCCTTGACTTAAGACTTTTTCTTCTCAATGGTTTGTTTTTGTGGCCGAACAGGTTTGTGTACCTGGGCCAGTCTTGCTTTGACTTGTGCAGGATGTTGCGGATGGCAATTGCTACAAATTCACTCTGTTGCATGCTTGACGGTATGGATCAGGCAAAGTTCAAGATACCTCGTGTGAGAGGCCGTGACAACATCTCCAACTCAAAACTCTTCAGTAGCCTGTTCAGGCCTCGTTTACACGTGGCTGGAACTTGGATTCACGGGCGAAGACTCACACTTTGGGTTGCAGACGAAGATCTCTGCAAGAATTCCACAACACAGATGGAGATGCTAGCGCGCTGTTTGTCCGATGTCAACAACGAGCATGGATTGCCTTTTGGCCTTTGCTGCCAACAAGATAATACATATAGGGAGGGAAAGAACCGGCACTTCCTGGCTTTCTGCATCTTGCTGATCGGGCTGAAGGCCTTCAGATGGTGCGTTGCCAGCTTTCTTCGTGTTGGACACAGCAGTTTGGCGTATTCTTTTTTTTCCTCGGGCGATCTTTTCTTGAATGTGGGGTGTAGCAGTGTAGCCCGAGTGTTTGCAGCTCAGGCCACGAAGACTTGGATCAGGTCTTTTCCATCCAAGCATCCCTGATTGCAAGGAATGAGTTCAACACCCCGGAAGAATTGATGCAGATCATGGATTCCGCTTCCCGTCCTGACAGGCAGAGTGAGGCCATGCGCAAATCCCAGAAGACCAACTTCAATGTTGACTGCGAATGCAAGAAGCTTGATGAGTGTGCTGAATGGCAGCAGTGGGTGGCCATGCTTGGCATTCGTTTGAAGGGATTGCGCGCCTTGGCTGGCTTGGAGAAGTTGACAAAAAGAGTTGCCTGATTGAAGTGTGACGTTTTCTGGGGAGCCAGCAGGTCCAGAGAAGTGTTTTTGGTTTTAGCTTCTGTGCAGGTCGAGTGGGGCAGTTGCGCTTCAGCTTGCGAAAAGACATCGACCCGTCAAGCTATGGACATTGTGAATGTGAAGAGTTGCGCGGACAGCCCCGTAGCGGGGAAGATGTGATCCTCATTGCCAAAAAATTCATGGCTTCACCGGAGCCCTACAAGGTTGTGGTGCTCCTCAGTGCAGAGCAGTGTGCCACTTTGAGAAAGAGTATCTGTCAACCCTCTGGGGTGGCCAGTCGGCGTCCAATTTCTGACAAGGTGACAAGCAACATCAAAGGGAAAGTCCCTGTTCTCCTGAGGAACCAGATCTTGCACCCAGATGCAGCGGCATATTTGCAGAATTGGGCGGGTTCCACCCTTGAACACCTTCCGCGTCCGAGGGCATATTCTGTTTTGAACCACAGATATGATCAAGATCCTGAAGTTGGTGGGCAGACTGTTCCATGGCAACCGAAGGTTCGTGAGAGGCACATTGATTTGACATTGCTGGACGACGAAGATCGCCAGTCTGACTCTGACGACAGAGGGGATGATTTGCAGCCGATCATGGACGACTGAGAAAAATGGGTTGTTGGGTTGGAGCATATTGGAGCCCTGTAAGTCTTAGCCAAATTTCAGGGAATTGCAGCCTATGAAACCGAGCTTGGCATTTCCAGGGACGAGGGATTTGAGGGTGGGGCGGGAAACCAGTCACTTTGCTTTGTTTTGTTTGTTTCCGAATCTGCATCCTGTGAAACCCTATTCTTGATGATCTTCGGCCAGAAGCGAAATTTGACTTGGTGACAGCCTCCTTTTTCCAGCCCAGTGCAAAGCATGTTTAGAACTTAAGGAATTATTGCCGACATTAGGCTAGAGTTCTCCGGCCCAACGAACATATGTTCGGCTATTACATCAATCTAAGAGGTTTGAAAGCATAGTAGTTACATGACGCATGTTTATGCGATATGTTATGTTAGATTTCAAGTCATTCTTAAGATATGTTTTCAACATTTTTTTTGTTGGGGGGCTTTGTTGATATTAACTTATATATATAATATTTATATATTCATGCATGTATATATATATATGTATATATATATGTATATATATATAGAGATGCATTTATCCCTTTTCATACAAGTATTTCCATATAAGGCAAACGCATCATATCTATACAACGCATCATATCTGTACAATAGATTTCAGTGTTTTTGTCCAGTGATTAGCTGCTGCATTTGTTCTGGGAATCCAAGACTGGCCCCGGAGCCAGCCGGCAGAGGAGCAGGACTCCGAACTGTTTCTCGAATCTGATCTGGAAAACAATGAAGAACAGAAGCAAGACTTGCAATTCAGAGAGCGCTTTTTTGTGTGCAAAGGAACCATCAGGTCTAAAACAAATCCCAACACAAACATCAACTCGTTGAGACTCATTTTCAGACATTTGCTGAACGGAAGCGAGACCTGTCAGAGGGTCTATTGCTTGCCAAGAGCCAGCAAGCTAGTTCGCCAATAGCTACGGTTTCATGTGCTTTCATTGAAATCATTTTTTTGAGAAGGAAAGAATAAGTTTACTCTGTCAGGCAACGCCAAAACTGTCAACTTTCTTCCCCAACGGGAGAACACCCGCTGAGTATGTAAGTGTAAGTTTTAAGGCTCCAAAATGCTTCCCACCACAAACATCAATGTCTTGTGACTCTTTTTTTGGAGACAAGTATGCACGTTTTGACAATTTTCATAGCATCCTTTCAAGTCAGTCAGCGCTGCGAACAATTTTGCCGCAAAGTGGTTTGAGGAAACAAGATGGTGATGATGAAGTGTTCGAGGCCTCTGATGCAGAGGGATCTGCAGAGCCAGGGTCTGCAGACCCTTCGCAGACTTTGCCACATGACAGCGGATCCCTCCAAGTCGATGGTGTTGGGGCACAGGCCTTACTTACCAGCTGTTACTTGCATCTTGAATCAATTTCCGAACATAGTTTCCAGAGATCCCGAAATCTTTCGTTTTGCAGCTAAAAAGATTAAGGTCCACAACTGGGTGAATTGGGCATTTGCGGCCCGTGGCAGCACCCAGTTGGTGGAGAGCTTCATAGGGACCATGCGTGCTTGTGCCGCCAAAGGAGATGTTGAAATACCCATTGGTAGTGTGTGCACTGGTTGGGGAGTCGCCGAGATGGTGGTTTCAGAGTTAAATGAAAAGTTGGTCGAACTGGGGGATGGCCGCTTACCCCAGGCGCTCGCTTTTTTTTGATTGTGGTTATAGTTGCCCAAATTATTCCTGAAACCTGAAACCTGCTACTCCAAGCCTGTATCCTTGAGCATTTGCTTCTTTTCTGTTTCCCTGCCTGTGCAGTTCAAGATGGCTTTCCTTTGCGAATGCGAGACTTTCAAGCTCAAGAACCTGAAGGCTGCTTTTGGTGACAAGGTGAACCTCATCTTCACAGACATGAAGGAACTTGCCAACGGGTCGGCCCATGACTTTGTTTCTGGCAGGAACGTTCCAGTCCCGAAGGTTTCTCAGTTGTCAAATCGTTCAGAAAAAGCAGTCCCACTTGTTTGTTGTTTCTGTTTCTGTTTCTGTTTCTGTGAGAGCACGTTTTTGATTTGATTTGGCCCCTGCTGAGAGGTGTTTTTTGCATGCTGAGGTGAAAGGTCTTGTGATGGGATATTCATGCCGATCGCTGAGTGCTCAGAACCCGAATCAAAAATCAATTCTTGACGCGACGTCCAGTTCTGGAGCTGGTTTTCATGCCCTGAAACGGTACATTGACCATTCACCCGATGTTGAATGGGCTTTGCTGGAAAACGTTCGGGGGATGGTGCAGGTCAGGCACCAGTTCAATGGGGAATGCCCTATTGACATCCAATCGAAGTGGATGGCCAAGAGGGGGTTTAGATGTTGCTTTGCCACTTTGCTCAACAGTTGCAACTTCGGCTTGGCCCAAAGTCGTACTAGAAGCTGGACTCTGTATGTGCGCGATGAGAAGCTCAGGTGGGCCTGTTGATGCCTGTTGGCTTATTATTTGCCAACTCCTGGAATGAAAGTTGAACATCCTACTTGTAGACAATCAGTGTATGGGCGCAATCATTTTCTTTTCTGAAATGGTTTTCAAAAGGGATTCATCGGGTTGAGAGTCATCAGTCATCATCAGTCGTTGTCATTGTTTGTTCAGGCCAGCGCTTGACGGAGTGCGGCTGCTGAAGCAGTTGCAGCTGGCTCCGCTGGACTTGTCTCACTTTTTGGACCGGGCCAATCAGGGCCAGCCCAAGGCATCCACTCCGCGTGCATCTGAGGGCACGAAGTGGAAGCGGCAGTTTAAAACCTGGTCTGACAAGCTTGGTTCCGACCCTGGTCTGATTGATTTTAAATTTTGTGTTGGTTAATTGCCACCAAGCTTTGCACGACTTTCAAATTCTCAGTCAATGTCACAATGATTTGAGAAGCATGGGCCTAAGGAAGCAGTCGCTGGCCACGTGGCAAGGCTGAGGAATTTGATTGCCTTGACTGAACGCGAGCTCAGCCTTCTCGCTGTTGTTGTGACAGAGATGACCCAGAGCGGATATGATCCATACAATGAGCGCTATATCATCCAAATAGACCCTGGCCTGTTGTCAGTCTTTTGCAAGTTACTTGAGGTAACTCAAAGATAACCCAAAGTAATTCAGATATTCATTGGGCCGATTGCTGTGTGGACCTTCAGGACCAGTCATTCGACCGATCTACCTGGAAGAGAGCTTCTCCCAGGATTCTTCCCTGCCTTTTGCCATGCGGCAAGTATGTCGTGAGCAAGGGATGGTCATTGCTGACCGCCAAGGACACACTTTCATGAAAGTTAAGTGGCCTCATAATTTCAAACAAATCATGTCCATTCATCAACGGGTGAGTTTTGATTGCTCCAGATTCCATATCCAGGAGAAAGCGAGGTTCCAAGGGATTGGAACGCATGAGTATTTGAAATATGGAATGGACAAGCTCAGTGAGAAGGGCCTTTCAGACCTGGCTGGAAACGCGTACTTTGGCGGCCAGTTTATTTCAGTTTTAGCCCCTTGCAAGCCATCACCTCATGCCAAAACAAAGTTTGGTCACTTCAGAGTCAGCATGCAAAGAGCCTATTTGAAATCTTTTGAGAAGTAGGCAAGTTTATTGACCATTTGCTTCAGGTTCTCCGCTCCATTGTTCCTCACGTGCTTCCTGACTACCATTGCCCTGTGGCAGCCGTGAAGCGCAGCTAGGATGTGTAGCTGGTGAGCATAGCTCCAAGTAACATAGAATGGCATTGGGAAACATTACTTGAAAAGGCTGAGATGGAAAACGTTAAGCTTAGAGCCAACTTTGCCCTGCCAACTGACTTGATGCCACAGTTGCAGCTTTTGAGATATGATAGAAGCATCGCCGCAATGATGCAGGTTTTTTCTCGAGTTGGTTGGGGTTGTCAGGATGGCCCCTCGCAAGAAGCAGAAAGTGGGGCCCGGTCCATCAGATGTAGCTGGGGCTAGCACAATAGCCATGGTGGGTGAGTTGCAAAGAGACGTGGCTGCCTGTGTAGAACTAGTGTACCTTGCCCTCATTCCTTCAGCCTTCTGCTTGGCCTATAATTTTCAGCCCCTTTAAAGTTCAGTGATCAGGGGCATTGGCAAAACAACATGTACAGCTCCCAGGTACAGCATGCGCCACGGTGTCCAGCAGAAGGTGGAGCCCGATGATTTTGGTGGCGCGGCCAGCATCAATTCGAACCCGAATTTGCCGGCCCCGTTGGATGAGTCTGGCAAATTTGCTTTTCCACTTTGCGATGGCGGCACCTTCATGCAGATCGCCCAGCGGGCCATGAAGACAGACTGGACCCAAGCGGAGTCGGCAAATCTTTGCCACGCTGCCGGGTTTCTTGAGGCTGATGACATCACACTCTTGAAGAGTCAGTTCATGACTGTAACAGCTACTATCTTGGATTATCAGAAGTTTTTCACATTTTTAGGGGTTGTGGAAATGATTTCACATCGATATGGACAGAGTCTTGAGAAAAGCCACCACGATCATTGGAATGATTGCTGTCCATGCATCTCTGCCAAGGAGTGGCCCCCAGAGCCGGGTAGCATCTTCAACACATCCATATTTGCTTGGTCCTATGAGGATGCAAGCTTCTGGCGTGGCAAGTCAGTGTCTTGTGCAGAGGTGGTGTCATATGCTAAGTCCATGGCCCTCACACGATTCAGGGAGGTGGGATTCAGTTTGCTTGCAAGATTTTGTCATGTTGCAAGAACCTTGCTGTAGACTAGCGGCTCTTTCAACATTTGCAAGCTGAAGCTTCCCAGCAGTGGAAATCAGTAAGAAAGAGGCTCTGAGAGCCACGTGACAAGAAAGAAAGTCTTGCGCATGTAAGCCAAATGACTTCAAATCAAAGCAAGTTTGCTTGGTATGAAAATTCAAAAAATACTAATTATTAAGGGTTTAGGGTTTAGAGTTTAGGGTTTAGGGTTCAAGGGTCCAAAAATTTGGGTGCGGCATGGACATTAATGTAAAATGACTGTTTTTTTGACAAAAAATAAAAAAAAATAAAAAAAGTTTGTGGAGACCACTTCCCTGAAGTGGTCTCCACAACTGGGCGGGGGCGGGCGGGGGCAAGATCTTGTGGCGAGAAAATCAATGATTGATGTTACCGGTTTTGTGGCGAGAAAATCAATGGTTGAGGTTGCCGGTTTTGTGGCGAGAAAATCAATGGTTGAGGGTTTTAAGCCGGGGATATCAATGTTGGAGGTATTGGGCATGCAGATTTTTGTGGTCCAACCCATGGCCGTTTGCCAATTTTCTCTCCACAGTTCTCTTTCCTGTCCCGACTTCTTGTGGAGAGCCCTTCCCTGAACTGGTCTCCAGTGCCTTCTTTTACCAATACAAAGAGGGTGAAGTACCATTTGACACTTTTTTCAAATCGGGGTTGAATTGGGCAGGTATGGGGGAGACACTTGAAAAGGCTTAAGTACAGGGACTGGAGACCAGTTCAGGGAAGCGCTCTCCACAAGCCAAGTTCCATTTAAAATGATTTGTGGAGACCAAACGACCAAACGCAGAAATGAGATATTATCCAATCCCGATCCTTGTGGAGAGGACTTCGGTGAAGTGGTCGCCACAAGCCTATGTTTGGCTGGCTTTTGAGTTGATTTTCTCGCCACAAGGTTGTCTTTGCACTTGTTGCCTGTGATTTTCTCGCCACAAGTTTGTCTTCCAGTTATGGTGCCCTGATTTTCTCGCCACAAGTTAGTGATTGAACTTAACGGGTGCTGATTTTCTCGCCACAAGATTTTCTTTCCGGTTATGGTGACTTGATTTTCTCGCCACAAGTCTGTCTTTGAACTTAGCATGTGCTGATTTTCTCGCCACAAGAATTTCTTTCAAGTTTTGATGCGCTGATTTTCTCGCCACAAGTTAGTGATTGAACTTCGTGGGTGCTGATTTTCTCGCCACAAGATTTTCTTTCCGGTTATGGTGCCTTGATTTTCTCGCCACAAGTGTGTCTTGGAACTTAGCGTGCGCTGGTTTTCTCGCCACAAGATTTTCTTTCAAGTTGTGGTGCGCTGATTCTTACTCAGCGAGTGGTTGAACTTAAAACCCGAAACTTTTTTCCAAAAAGAGCATTAACCTTTTTGGCTTGGGTCCGCGCGCGCGCGCGCCAAAACAAGCCTAATTTGAAGGCAATTTTGGCGCGCGCGCGCGGACCCAAGCCAAAAAGGTTAATGCTCTTTTTGGAAGGGTACCCATTTAGAAAGGATTTTATCGCCGCAAGTTTGTCTTTTATCTTCGCCGGTGCTGATTTTCTTGTCACGGACATGTTTTCTTTCAAGTTTCTGTGCGCTGATTTTCTCACCGTCAGCTTTTCTTTCAAATTTGATTTGGTGCGCTGATTTTCTCGTCAAAAGGCCAAAAGCTTTTCTTTCAAGTTATATATGCTGCTCTGATTTTTTCTCCATAAGCTTGTGATTGAACTTGGTGCGCATTAGTTCCTTCCCGGAAAGTTTCCCTTGGGCCTCATGACTTGAATTGAACTTTGCGTTTTGCTTGCCATGAAAATTTGTCATTTCTACTTTGCAGTTTTTTCTTGGTCCACTTGTGGTTTGCCAGAAGTGTTGCCACGTCAGAATTCTTGCCAACAGCTTTCTTTTACTCAGACGGACATTCTCTGAACCAATTTGGTGGAAACAGTCAAGTCTTCTTAAGATGTGTACCGGAAGTTGAGGTGGCTGCTTTTTCCTATGTCTCCATTTTTAATTTAGACCCCTGGCAGGGCGAGATGGTGGCCGCGAGATTTGATTCTTGGCCCCCAGAGAACATGAAGCTTGCAGCCGATGGGTCGATCTTTGGTCTGCTGCAGTTCGGGGATGGGTCTCAGAAGCTCCTGGCCGCAATCATCACTTGGATCTGTCTTTTGTTAACTTGGAAAGCTCATGGGCATGACGCTGTGAAGCAACCCCTGGTGCAGTCAATGATCAAGTCGTTCCTTGCCATTCCAACGACTGTGAGATCTTCAGACACCATGGCGACTCCCTTGGATGCCATGCTGCAGCGAATCGCCCAGCAAAACGTCGCGGCCCGTGTTCAGCCGATCAGCACATTCCAATGGGCGTCTATCCTCTACAAATTCCTTGGAACCAGCGGTGGGGACGCAGAGACATTTGACGACATGCTTTCGAAGTACAATTCACATCCAATCGTCCTTGCGCACGATCGTGGAGAGTCAGGGGCAGGGAGCATCGCTTTGGACGGAAAGAAGAAGTTTGGAGTACGAAACTGGATTGAGAGATGCTGCCCGGAGGCATACCAAGTTGTGTTGAGCTCATTGCAAGATTTGCCGTACCTTCTTGGACCTTTCGGCGAGACTTTCGCCTACACGAACATGTGCTTCCTGACTTCCAAAGCATCGCTTGAAGCCAACCCAGACCCCAATGCAGTGGATGGCCCTCTTGAAGGAGAAGGCAGCGTGGAAGTGGCTTGACATTAAATAACTATTTATTTTTGTTTACCCCAGGGATTGATTCAATCACAGGGGCCAACACAAGAGGGCACTTTGGGTTTTGATTTCCCGGCAAGCTTGGGCCCTATGGCTGTGTGAAGGTGGATTGGTCTTTGACGATGACTCCGACGGCTCAAACCATGTTCTTTCAGAAGGTGAGGGCCATGTTCAGCAGAGCCACAGTTGGGATCCAGCCTTCCCAGAAGAAGCGGTACAGGTTAAGCCAAGAGGATTTGATTGTGCAGCGGAACCTGGCTGTTTTGTTCTCTCAGCTGTCAGCCTTTCTGATCCTTTTGCATTATTTCAGCAGAGGCTTTTGATGTTCTCTTATGTTCTCTTTGTATTTTTCTCGGCCGTGTAAGAAACTTAAAAGTTCTTTGCCGCACTTGGTTTTCATTTTCTTTCTCTCTCTCTCTCTCTTTCTCTCTGATCTTTAGCTGCTTGCCACAGGAAAGCAAAGCTGCCTGGTGAATTGGGTGCCGAGCTGGATTCAAGGTTCACATCTGGAACCAATCTCGATGCGGATTTCTTGCCGTTTCTGCAGAGTCGACCCCAGCGCATTGCAGTCTCGATGCTTCCAAGCTACAAGGTGCAAGCCCAACGTGATGCAGAAGATTCTTCAGCCATGCTTAAGATTGAGTTTTCAAGGTTTCGGGTTTCAAGGGGTGAGTTTTCAAGGGGTGATTTTCCACCTTTGCGATGCTACACACGGCAAAGGAAAAGCAGTCTCTGATTCACTGTGAAGTGCAAGCTCAGAAGGAGGCCGTTACCACTGCCCAATTCAAATTCTTTGAGACGGCCTTGAAGCAGGACCAAGCCTTGATCAGCAAGGTGCAGACTGTTCCCACCACGCTCAAAGCAAAGATGCACACCAAACTGGTGCAGCAACGTCAGTCGCAAGCTGATGCTGCTCAGAGGGCCGCCACGGGCTATCAGGAGCGGGGCAGTGGGCAATCAAGTTTCGTTCCCCCACACAGGAGGATCATAGTGATTTATTTATTATACAACCCTGTCCCAGGACTCCTTCCTCCGTGTGACTTCCGTTGCAAAGTCGGATTTGGTCATGGCAGAAGTTACCAAGATGAAGTCCCAAGTTGTGACAGGGCTTATGTTTTTAACTTTCGTTTTTACTTCCGACTCCCCCTTCAAGATTTTGAATGCGATAGCAGCAGCCAAAGTCGCTGTTTTCGAACATGTGGATCTGAGGCATCCAACGCCAAGATCCCGCCGGATGAAGTGGCTCTTTTGGGGTGGTGCGACTTCAACGCGCCATGGGCGCGTACAAAGGAGAATTGTTTGACTTTGTGCAAGTCAATCGCGGCTATCTCGGAATCGAGCCCCAAGTTGGCGGCCACCGTGGTGCTGCTGCCCGACAACCCTCGGGATAGCAACCCCAGAGGATTATATGACGAAGAGCGGCAGCTGTTTGATGAGCTCTACTCATTAAACCAAGCCTGCGAGGCCCGCTTCATGGAGTGCTTTGGGCGTGAGTCGAAGCGTGCTGAAGCGAAAAGCAACAGCAGACGCTGGGGTGCAGGGCGGGTGATCACCTCCAGCTCAATGCTCAGTGAAAAAAACTGGCTGGACTCGGAGCTTTGTGTATCCGGCAGGCCTGTCGGCCCGAACGAGATGCAGGAAGGAGCACCAATCGCCCTGTTGCCGAAGACAGCGGCCTTGCTGATCCCAGAGAATTCTTCCCCAGCTGCTCTGTCGTTGAGTTAAAGTTAATGGTTTCTATTCTATGGCATGAGCTTCACGAGATAAGTGTGTGGGCCAAATTTCAAATTCGTCAAACGGTGAAAAGATCCATTTTCATTTTGGTGGACAGAGCCGGGTTCTGCCATTGGTTTCAACAAATAGATGTTTGATTTGGTTGCTACGACCTTTCTTGCTCCCCATCCACATTCAAAATTGCAGAAAGTAGGACCTTCCAAACATCTGGATTCCTCAGGATGCTGTTCGCATCTCGGACCGTTTGAGACCATCGGCCGAACAAGTCAGTGCCCAGAAGGGCTGCAAAAGACTCGAAATGCTCTTGGAGTCGGTTCTGCGCTACACAAAGTTCAAGGCCGTTCCCATCATCAATTTGACTGGATACGTGGAGGATTTGGCAGTGGCGGCAGCTTTCCTGCCCATAATGTGCAATGTTTCTTTTTTCTGCAACTCAGACTTCTTTAAGGTCTCGATTTTTGAACCATGACCGGGGATTTGGCTGAGGTAGCCACCTTGCGAACAAAGTCTGCCCCGCCTGCACCAGATAGTGGCCTGGCCATGCCTTTTGACAGGTTGTACTACCTTTCTGTCCACACACTGGACAACAAGGAAGGGGTGCAGTACGCGAAGTCACGCGTGACCCGGGAGCTTTTGGACATGTGGGTTGACAAGAAGTTCAGCTTTGCTTGTTTGAGCTTCAATGATTCTGAGCCAACTCTGAGCGATACTGATGCTTGGCTTTGCCATCATGATGTGTTCCCTTGTTCTGCAAATGTTTGATCTTTCCCCGGTGTTCGATGATGGGGTTACATTCAGCTTCCTTGGTGCAAGCTTAGGAGAAGAGCGCCATTGATGCCTTCAAGTATTACGAGAACCCGCAGTCTATGGACTTGCAGGTCCTGACCCAGGTGGGCAATGAGTTTCGGATCCACCCTGATCAACAGAGGCAGTGGACGCAGCTGGGAGGCGAGTACGGTGCCAAGCTCCTTGATTCCAGGAAGTATCCCCTTTTTTCATTTTCCAACCGGTTCAGACTCAGAATCAGATGAATCAGCCATTACGTTTTTCAAGTTCAAGATCAAGTTCAATTTATGTAATCCACTGCTGTGTAAATAAAGAAAGCCGCCTGCAGGTTCGAAGAGCTCCAAAAGGATCACACTGACAAATTTCAGAACATGTTGAAGAATGTGCTCCAGTCTGGCAGCATTACCGTTACCGTTGAAGAAGCTGCTGCAGCAGTTGCTCAGGGTGCAGATGGTGGCGGTGAGGACGGATCCCAGTCAGAGACCATGAAGAGTTTTGAGACCGTGATGGCCCTTGAGGCAGCTGATGGTCCTTTCCTTGCTCGGTGCGTTTCAGAAGTGGCAGGTATCGAGATCATCAAGGGCAAGTCTGGCCAAATCTATTTGCTGTCAGACAAGGACCGCATCATAGCGAAGAACACGCTGATCGGCGGCTTTGGCACGGGCAAGTTGCCAGCCAGCATCCTCTACTGTTTTTACTTTATTGCAAAACAGTTTTGATTGACCCCTTTCAGAATTCCATCGCCAAAAGATCGGAACTGGGTTTCATGTCGATCACCATTATTAATGAAGCCAAAGGGTACTTGCCAGTGACGACGGAAAATGTCGATGAAAGCAGAAAAGTTTTTCTGGATTTGGCTTTGGGGGACAGAACCCAGATCCAGATCGACATGCAGAGCCTCAATGCCGACATGACTTCCTTCGACATTATGTCCCTGTACAAATATTTGACAACGGTGGAGCGCCAGAAACGGGTCACTACTCACAGTGTCTCATACACCGAGATCACTCGCCTGAGCAGCTCGTCAGGCCAAGATTCGTTCAAAGTGGAGCCGAAGAACGCCCACTTCTACCAGACAATTCCAGATTCTGTTCTGTTGCGGAGTCTTTTTGATTTTTGATGTTTCTTCCCCCTGCTTGTTACTTTCTTCTGGCCTGGGAACTTGATTTGAATTCTTGCAATCAACTCGATGCTTGAATGAGGACCTTACAAAGGCCCTCACTTGCAAAAGCATTTTCTTCGATTCATTCAAGAAGATTGCATCTGGGACCGGGCTGATGACAGCCTTCAGATTCCGAACTTCAGCTTGGCTTCAGTGGAAATGATTTTTTCTGTGCTTATCAGGTGGTCATGAGCGAGGTTTTTTCTGTCAGTTTTCATCCATTCCTTTGAGGTTTTGACCGCGTGCATGCAGTCACCAAAGTTCAGAAGCCCTATTGCTTTGCAAAGCGGGCGATCAGCTTGGAAGCGAGCAAACCTTGTGCCATGGGAAGCACAGGTGGGCAGTAGTAGACTGTGACCCGAAGTCTAGTTGTGGCTTTTGACAATTGCTGGCATGGCCTGTCATGTCATGAGTTGTTCTAAAACTGGTTTATACTGGTTTAGAGACATCCTCCCCTATCGTGTCACTCATTGGTGCCTGCCAGCATTGGGCAGTTAGTTTGAAGTGCCTGCCACCGTTGATTTCTTCGGCCACGTGCCGGCAGCTGCTTCCAAAAGACAGTGAAAATCACCGCCAATTTTCAATGACAAGCCCGCCAGCTTGATAGTAGGGAACTTGTTTACTGCTCGATTCAGCTTGCCAACAACTTGAGGAAGCAGTGTGAGTCACACCGTCTTCAGCCATTTTCTAGGATCATGACTTCTGAGTTTAGGGACTCAGTAAGATTGGAGGGTCACCGCCTGTTGCGCCTGGGCAACATTTGTGATGATGGCGACTGCCCCACAACACCTCCTGCAAGGGAGCACGATGGGCACTCTCCTCTTGGCCAACCCGGCCCCATAGCCCTGTCCGACGATACCACTGAGCCAGAGAACGTGGACTTCTTTGGTTATGGATCGGAAGAAGAAACTGAGAAGAAATCGGGAGTGAAGCAACCGCTGGAATGTCCTGCGGAACCTGCTGCTGCCAGGCCCCTTACTGATGTGACAGATACTTTACAAGCCACTACTGATGAGGAAGTTCCTGAAGATGACAAGCTCAAGGAAGGTGACAACAAGAAGAACACGACTAAGAATGCCCCGGTTTTGAAAAAACGCCCAGCTGCTCGCAAAGAGGTGATCAAACGGCCTTCGGCCCACTTCAAGTCTGCAGTTGAGCCCGCCGAGAGTGAGGCCGGTCCACCTGAATTTTCTCCAAGTCCTTCGAAGAAATGTCCAGCAGCCAGTCAACAGGTTGAAGATGCTGGTGACTCTTCAGGTCACCCCCCGGAGTTGAAACGTCCAGCTGCCAGCCGAGAGGCTGACGAATCCGGACCGCTGACGCCTCCAGATTCCGAGCCTGCACCGAAAGCAGCAGCAGCCCTGAAGAAGAAAGCCCCCAAGTCTGCCAATCTACCACCTTTCAAGCCACAGTTTTGGAAATGGGAGGAACGAGTCGAAGGGGACTCCAAGTGGAAGGAGAGCAAGCATGGGAGCTGGAAGGCGCGGAGAAATTTTCTTGTCGTGTTAAGGGTGGGTCGTCCATGTCTAACCCCAAATTTTGCCTTTGAGATTTATTTGTGATCAATGGGTTCCTGTTCAGGTCCGTGAGTATGTCCGGGATGTTGGGGACCAAGCCGGACAGAAGTGGCGCATCTTTGAAAGCGGCGATGGCAAGACTTTCAAGTCCTTCAAGACTGCTGCAAACGCCGGCTTCATCCCCATTGAGGACTCGGATGTTGACTGACCGGCTGACCCGCCGATAGTTGCTGCTAGTCTTGGATCTGATCTTGCGTCCAAGAGCAGAAAAATGTCAAAGCTTATAGGGTGGTATGAGAGTTGATTGTTACAGCAACAATCCCAAGTTGCATGACAGCCTTTTGTCTTTGAAGTGCCAAGGGTTGAAGTTCCGTCCCAGACTCAGCAATGTCACTGATTCAATCTCTGATTCATCCGTAGGTTTGTGAAAGCATCAAACTTAAAGGTGGTTTTTGGCAGATGGCTTCTGACTCCGAGCTGCGCTTCCTCCGAGCTGATTCGCTTGGAGATGTCAGAGCTGTGAAGTTCGAGGATGTGGAGGCGATGAAGGGGGCCCTTGCAGCGATGCACCTACCAGATAGCATTGTCATTCGCTGGTATCGCAGCTTTGTTGGCGACCTTGACCCAATCGGAAATGTCGTGCTGTTACTAGGAGAACCAGGTACGCTTGTCACTGGGAGCCAGCAACCCGTTGACCGCCAGCCTTACCATGTGACGATTCTCATCCTCAATGATTAGTATTATGTTGAGCTGGGAGTTGGACGATGTTTTCTTTTTTTTCAAAGGGGGCAGTATCATATCACGATATGAACCCATCCTCAAGCACAGGATTCTGTTTCGGAACTACCTTGCCCTGGTGGGGCCTGACTGTGCCTCGAAGATGAATTTCAAGACCGTTTCCCAGTTGAGTGCCGCAGTAGCCTCCTCCGATGTCCAGACTTTTGTGAGTGGTGGCGTTTCAGACGAGAGGACCAGTGTCAATGTCACTACCACACTGTATCTTAGCATTTTGCGTGCGATTGTTCACATTCAGCTTTGCCGTTTTCCACATGAAGTACTTCTCAGTCTTATAACTTTCTTCATGAACGATCCTTAGTTTCTGAGTTGGTGGTCAGCTTTACACTTTGCTGCGCTGTTAGCTTCACTTGCAAGGCATGGGCAGCCTTTTGAAAGTGAGTGCACGTGCGTTGCTTTCGTTTGCAGCGATGCCTTGAATACGGAAGATGAGCCCAGGGTGTCCATGAAAACTTTTAAAGGTCCAGGTGGAGAAGATCGACCTGTAATGGAGGTTGCAGTGTGCCGGGAGAAATTCATTTTGTTGAATCACGCTGTGGGCATGTGATTGCCCTGCGGCCTGCTTGAAAAGGTCCCGGTGAAATTTTTGAGTCAGAACCAGCTCAAAGAGCTCTGAGCCACAGGATGGAAACTGTGAGTTTGCCAGTCAGCGCCAGCGAGATTGAAATCTAGTGGGAAAGAAACCGATTTTTCTGGTTGATTCTTGATGTTTATTTTCGTTTGCTTGCATGGCACCAAGGTGTTGGTGTCAAATGGTAAAAAACTTTCTACAGGACTCCGCTGTGTGCTTTCCAAAAAGTTGCCAGTTTTGTTAGGTGTTGGTGCCGTGCAACATGATTGGGGTCGCGGCAGCCACAAGTTGAAGGCACGCGCCTCTGGATGTACGGCAGGCTAGTTAGGGTGGGGTGCCTTGAACCTAATAAGCCTTTAAAACCCTCAACCGCAAACCCTAAACCGTAAAGCCCTCACTAAGCCCTTTATGAACCTTTATAACTTCCCTAAACCCTAAACCCTTAAACCCTAAACCCTAAAAACCTGAGCCCTTAACCCTCATTGTAAAACCTTTAGCTTCAACCTTCAACATTCAACCCTAAGCCGTCAAACCTTAAGCCCCTTAACCCACCCTAAACCGTCAAGCCCTAAACCCTTCAACCAAGCCCTATTAAGCCGTAGTAAACCTTCTCCCTCTCAACCCTTACAGACTCAGACCCCCGAACCAAAGTAAAGCATGACAACTTCGAACGGGGTTTCTGAGAAAGGTTTAGATTCTAGGCAGAATATTTCTACTTTGATGTCAACCTCAGCTCTTCAAAGTCTTTGCGTGAAATATGGCACCTGGGACAATCGGGATCCAACTTGGCCCGCCAAGCTCAGGCCCAACGCATTTCTTCTCTCCATACTGAGGGGAAAGCGCTGACTGTGATGGGAATGCTGCAATAAATCGCCACTCCAATTTTCTTGTTGGCAAAAACAGCCAGTTTACAGGGATGCACGTGGATCCCAGTGGGGTTGGTCTTTCAGTTCGTAATGAAAAAAATATATATGAATTTTGCCTGTTTATCAAAACCATTTTTGGTGTCACCTCGCCGGCACGTGGACCAACCATTTGCAAGAGAAAGATGTTTGAAAAAAGGGAAACATAATTTCGGGAGCGTCTTGCGCATATCAGGGGTGACCCGGCACTTCACAAACCCAGGCCCAAAGCATTAACATTTTTGAGATTTTGGGAAACAAGGGAAGTTATAGCGCTTTGAATTCGACATAATTCATTCAACCGCTCGAGCTCCAGTCCAGTGACTGTCCCGTCGTTCCGCCTTGAATAATTGTGAGTTCAACAAAAATAAGGAAGTCCAAACTTGTTACAATAATATATTGTCTAATTTCAGCTAATTTCACATTTAATTTACAACATTTGTATGCTGCATAACTTCTGTATCTAATTTGTCAATAAATACATATATATATATATATTTTTTGTATTTCTTCACTCACTTGTATATGCATTTTCCTGACTATGTATGTATACTTTATGTAATAAGATTGTCATTGTTCAATGTCAAGTCTGCCTGACCAAAAAATGCATTTTATGCGCCCAGAATGTGAAAACACATATCGTCGCTGTCAGGTTGGCTGATCGTTTTCAGTAATAAATGCCGAACGCATACAGAATTATTATAAAACGGTTTCTGTAAATCAAATAGCATGTATTCTTTTAATTTTTATTTTCAACATCTTATAGTTTTCGATTCAGATTCGGTGACGTTCAATAGCAACGTTCAGAGCCTTATAGCTGGAAAGCTATCAGTAGCAACGTTCAGCTCCGCAGGGGTGGGGCATTTAAAAGCGGGCTTTATATCATAATGCCCCTGAACTTAAATACAGAGCAGCGGCGGCTAAGAGAGGGAGGCAGCTCAGAGCAGAAGCGAGTCAGAAGTAACAGTAAGTAGCCCAGATAAGAAGCTGATCAGAGAAGAAGTCGCTGAAAGAAGAGTACCTCAGCAAAAGAGGTGGCCCAGTGAAGAAGTCGTAGCCAACAAAGAAGCCGTCGTGTTGCCACTGATTACTGTTACCATGCATCGGCTCCTGGCAATCATCTTGATTTCATCCCGTGGACCCTGAGCCACATATTATATCAAAATACTGCGTGTCCTGTTTACAAGGCAGCATGCTACCAATCGCAGCACCAGAAGTGACATGGCAAATGTGGTTGACAGCCAGCCAGGATTGAAAGCACAGCTGCCATGAAACCACTTTTTGCCACGAAAGTAGCATTGAAGCTTTGTGGCTTATGGCGACCGGAAGGGAAACTAGGGAGGCCCTTTTGAGCGAAGCCGGTTTTGAGAAGGTTTTCCGGACCCAGAATTGGGTCCGTCGGAGGAAGCTGTGTAGATGATTTTGTTTCTTGTGGGGGCAAGCGGGGTGCATATCGGTTGCTGCTTGAACCCAGTTGAAGGTAGCTTTTTATTATTTCGTTTCGTCTGGTGGCTTGATTGTTTGCTGCTAAAAGAAGGCGCATCAGCCTTTTGCAGCCTTAGGTGATTGCTTGAAGTGTCTCTTGCTGTTGCGGAGTTTGTGGGTTTTCGCGCAGGTGGCCGGCTTCCATTTGAATGATTGTATTGAATACTTTACTGCCCCTTGTTGGCCCCCCTTGCCCCTCTAGACTCCTACCGAAGTTTTCAGCCCAGAAAGAACATGAATTATGATCTTTTCAGTCAATCCCGTTATTAATTAATAGTATAAATTTAAGACGGGATGGAGTAAGAAAGCGACGGATTGGTGAATGTTGCCTGGGTGGTGCTGCATTGCAATCGCCGCATTGGAGCTAGGGAACGGAGACAGCTGATACCACATGTGCGCTTTCAGGTTCCATTTGAAATCAGGCTTCGCATGTGCGGGCCTCCTCTTGTTCCAACTCTATATGCTTGTTGCTTAACTAAACGCAGTTGTCATTTTTTGTTCGTTGCACGGGTCGGCCTTTGCTGTTGATTTTGCGATTTTGCGGTCTACCGCCAGATGGTCCCAAAAATGTGCTTTTCTTTTGTTCTTTTACTAAGCGGTATGCGGTCCCAAAAATGTTTCGCTGAGACGGACTGTGTGTTTGAGTGGGAAGGTTTTTTTTTGTTTGGTAGCGGAGCTGTGTGCTCCTAAGCCCAGTCAGGTGAAGGTTTAGGATGCAACAAAACGGTTCAGGCATGCCCCAAGCTTTCTGGGCAGGTGTAACTAGGGAAGCTGGAGGTATGGATCCAAGTTCACCAACACAAATGGAGCAAGGATACAACACAAAGTTGCTACCAAGCACGTCGTCACTTAGTTCCCCAGAGCGAAGCGAAGGCTCAGATTTACCAGGTTTAGGCGCGAGACAAGCTGCCCAAAACTTTAGCTCATGTCAGAGGCAACAGCAACAACAACAGCAGCAACAATGCAACAAGGTCAGTGCCCTCAAGCTGCAGCGGCGAGCTTAACTGAAAGTCAGTTTCTTGTTGTGCACGCTCAGCACAGTGGGCACGCATGACAGCAGTTCCACCCAGTGTGACTGGACAATGTTCGCAAGAATCACAGAATTGGCACATGGATGTTGTGGTACAATGGGAAATCCAATAAGGTTTTGTCCACAAGGATGTTTTCAAAGACAAGGGTTCCTTCCAATGAATGCGATTCCAGGACAAGGCTGTTTATCTTTTGGGAATCAACCGCAGAACAGTTTGGGACCTCAGCTGAATCAATCACTAGCAGGGAATGTGCTTCGAACTTGGACAGTGCCCAGATCTTGGTGAAGTGAACAGAGTGCCGTCAGAACCATTCATGCCAGACTTTTATGGTGCCGGTCTTCCAAGCGGCATGTGTGAAGGGTTGGGTCGAAGTGATGTGAGAATGGATGGAAACATACCGCCACATACTTCCCTTGCAAAAGCC